AGATAATGTGGAATGCACAGGGGAAGCCTCAGCCCTTCCCTGGCTCCTTGCTCATCATCCCACACGGGCATGTGGGGAGGAGGAGCTGGGGCAGCCAGGCAGRCTCYGCTCCCCTCCCTCTGCACAGCATGGGGGAGATTCCCTATGCAGGAATGTTAAAATTATGAAGGCTCTGGAAGTTGAACCGTTCTCTAACAGAAGTAATGATATATATATATACACATATATATATAAATATATATATGTATAAAAGCCCATTGGATGACTCAGTACAGCCTGTGTTCCGCTGMGCTGCCCTTCCGGGAAGGGAAGCCTGCTCCCAAAACGGAGCCCTGACTCACAGGCTTCTTGGAACCGAGCGGAGACTCATTCAACTTCTTCCYTAAGCGAGAAGTTCACTCAAAACCCGGTGCAGAGTTTCTAAACCCAGAGGAGTAGGAAGAATCCTGGGGCACTGGTGCAGCATGAGGGGCTGGGACACCCCAGTGCTGTCGGAAGGCACCCAGGAAAGCATGGAGTCACCGCTGAGGTTTACAAGGTGGGGGACAGGARCACCTCCAGCAGCCCCTGCTGACYCCCACCCCCACCAGAGAACCTCSYTCCTCAGCCCAACCTGYGGATCAGCTGAATCCCAGGCAYRAGAACAAGGCACAGTCAGCACCTGGGAGCCCCTATGGGAGCCCGGCACACCTTACCTCCACCCACATCCAGCTGTGGCCAATCTCCAGCTCCTCAGGGACAAAAAATGCTTCCATAGGTCAAGTTACACATCAGGGAAAGCAAATTCCATCCCRGCCTCCCCAAAGGCAGCCAGGGAAACTCTGAAGCACAGGGTTCCAGTGCGTAACTACAGCGCAAGCAACAAGCCGGGCTTTCTTCAAGYCCTTCTGATGCATCAACACATGAGATAGCCAAGGACTCATCTCTGGGAGTTCCCTCTTTGGTTACATAAACACCAACCTCAGCTTAACCCTTTTGTGCTGAACCACAGGCCACAGCCACTAGGAAAAACTCCCACTCCAGCCCAACACCCTCACAGCAGGAGCCTGGAAATGCAACTGCAGCACCTGAGGCTGCACCACTGCCTCAGCACACAAGTCTCTGGCCTGGTCTGTGCCTGTGGTCAGGCTGTATTCACCTTCCAAACACCACAGGGGTGAGGAGTGGGYTGTATTACAGGGTTTTATTTGTCTTTTATTGCTTGTGACACTGCTGTTATGCCATAACCCCCCTGCAGCAGGACCTCTGTGTGCACAGAGCACTGTGTGACCTGCACACGTGCTGACACTTCCCAGCGAGGTGTGGCTGCAGTTTCTCACAGCAGTGACTCACCTGGCCCTACCTGGAGACAAATGTGTTGRAGTTACATGCACACACTGCATGCCAACACTACTGGGGTTTGCAGTATGACAACATATGAACAGGAACTGCACACTCACCAAAAAAAGATTAACTAAAAAAGCCTGTTTCACACAGAAAATGACCATGGGCACCCAGAGCCTGCTCTGTCCAGCAAGAGCTCGCAGCTGGAGTTCCCAGGCAGGAAGGCAGCACACACTGTACCTGCCTGGAGCACCCTGCACAGGTGACACCCCACCTGAGCTCAGTGGGCAGCTCAGGCACAATCACCAGGGCTGTCCTTGYTCATAGAGTCACRGAATAGTTTGAGTTGGGAGGGACCTTAAAGACCCTTCCATCCCCTGCCAAGGGCAAGGAGATTTTTCACTATCCCAGGTTGCTCCAAGSCCTGTCCAACCTGCCTTGGACACTTCCAGGGATGGGGCAGCCACAGCTTCTCTGGGCWACCTGTGCCAGGGCCTCCCCACCCWCACAGGGAAGAATTTTTSCTAATATCTCATCCAACCCTGCCCTCTGTCAGTGTAAAGCCAGTCCCCCTTGYCCTGTCACTTGAGACKCTCATAAATAGTCTCTGTCCYTCTTTYTTGYAGCCCATTCAGATACTGGAAGGGGCAGTTACAACACCCCAAAGTTTCTCTTCTCCAGGCTGAACAAGCCCAATTCTCTCATAGCAGAAGTGCTCCAGCCCTCTGATCAACTTGGTGCCTCCTCTGGACTCACTCCAACAGGTCAATGTCCTTCCTGTGCTGAATCACAGCACAGCTCKGTGCCTGTGAGGCTCCCCTTGCCTCTTCCAAGCTCTATAACATCCTGAGGGTCACAACCCAGATGAACTTTGCTTTTAAGGAACACAGTTATGTGATCAAACCCTCAGCACAGATACCACAAAGAAACRATCAAAGGATGCAGCATGAGCCTTCCAGCAATGGGGAAACATGTCCTGAATCCAGCAGGTGAGCGTTCCCATGCTGTCCCTCAGGTCACACCTCACTTGTGCCCCATCGTGTCCCTGCTGCCTCAGAGGGAGCTGTCTGTCCAGCAGCACGTGGCAGAGGAGKGGTGGCTCAGACCCACCACACTGAGCACTGGACTCTGCTCCAATTTCTCCAKCTCCCTCTGGTCATGGGATTGCAGCCTGAGACCCCCAGCACAGCTGTAGATACCAGTATACATTACATCCACACRTTAAGGCTCGCTCTAAACTAGCAAAGAACTGAATCCCCAACACCAGTGCACCACTGCCTGGGCAGGAGGGAGCAGCTGCATGGGGACACAAGGAACCCCAAAACCCCTGTATGCTCAGGGGGTGGAGGTGCTGTCCCACCAGATCACCCACCCAGCAGTGAGACCTTTCACAGCCTCAGCAGAGCTCCCCAAAGGCACGGCCAGAGAGGGACAGCCCCGGTTCTAAGGCTGGCAGGGCCCCCAGCCCCCTCAGCACCCCGGGTGAGCTCCCACGGGAGTGCAGGGCAGGGTCAGTCCCTGGCTCTGACACCTGCTGATGTTACTCACCCTCACTCAGAGGCACAGCCCTCACCTACTCACTGCTGAGGCACAYGAGGCTCCTCCTCGGYACAGAGGYTCCAAAAGACTAAATTCAGAGRTTCCTACCCAGACTGGAGGCARAACCAGCCCCAATCACGGGCTGWGCCKCCCTCSSCCCCCCWGACCTGTCCCCGTGCTGGCAGCAGCGCCCCAGCCAGCCCCCCGAGCTGCTGCCGGGCAGAAAAGGCCAAACAACCGATTTACCAAAGGGCCTTTTCAAACCCAGCCGGTGCATGAGCGCCAGAGAGCACCGGTGCACCGGCAGCACCGAGCCGAACCGGACGGCGGGATCCCTGAGCCGCCTGCAGCTGGGGGGGCTCCCCAGGCCCCGGTCCCGGTGGAGAATCGGTAACACCGGCGGGTCTCCCCACACGGAGCGCCCGGCCCGGCCCAACACGGGGCTCCCGGACACGGTGCCCGGCCGCCCTCTCGCACGGTGGGACCGCGATGGTGACGGATCCCGGGGTCAYGTCTCCCGGTCAACGCTGATTCCGGTTTCCCCCCTCATTCATCGACGGCCTCAGTTCCCTCCTCACCCACCCATGGCCACGGCCCCGACCCCGGTTCCTCCCACTCTCTCTCACCCCACTCATTCAGTCACGGCCCCGGCCCTAGCTATCCCCGCTCTCTCTCTCTCACCCACGGCCCGGTCCCGGTTCGGTTCGCTCTCTCTCACCCCTCACTGTCGCACAGCTCAGCCCCAGCTCCCCCCGCTCCCCCTCAGCCCTCACTCACCCATGGCCCCGGGCCCGGCCCGGCCCGGCCTCGCTCCGCTCCGGCGGCCGCCTGGCACCGGAAGTGACGCGCCGCCACCGCCCCCCGCCGCCAGCCCGCCCCCTGCCGGCCGCGGGACGGGGAAACGCCGGCGCTGATTGGGCGGCGATTGSACCCGAGCGAGGGGCCGGACGGGGCTGGCGGCGGGCTCTGATTGGTTGGACAGCGCGGYGGAGGGAGGCGAGCAGCGAGAGCTGATTGGTTGCRGTRSGAWGAGCTCRTCGCTGATTGGCTCGGGCTGGAGCCGGGAGCCCGGAGGATTGGTGAGCACGCGGGAGATTCGAACGCGCCGTGATTGGCGGAGGGGCGGGGCCTGTCCCGCTGGCCCCGCCCACCAAGACCCCCGGGCTGGGAAACCCTGGACTGGAGCCCCCGGACTGGGATTCCCTGGGCTGGGAAATCCTGGGTTAGGATCCCCGGACTGGGATCCCCCGGACTGGGACCCCCTAGGCTGGGAAACCCTGAGCTGGGAAACCCGGAGTTGGGACCCCCGGACTGAGACCCCTTGGACTGGGATTTCCTGTGCTGGGAAACCCTGAGTTGGGACCCCCAGACTGGGAAACCCTGGGTTGGAACCCCCGGACTGGGAACCCCCATGCTGGGAAATCCTGGGTTGGGACCCCTGGATTGGGACTCCCTGGCTGGCACCCCCGAACTAGGACCTCCTGTGCTGGGAAACCCTGGACTGGGATCCCCAGCACAGAAACTCCACACTCTTGAGCCCTGGGCTGGGACCCGCTGGATTGGAACCCTCTGGGCTGGGACCCCCGTGCTGTTGCCCAGTCCCAGGCCCGTGCAATCAGGCACCCCCAGAGTAAAGCCYCCAGCTCTGCTTGCACAGGACACAYGGCTCCGTGTCCCASGGGGTCCCTGTGGGCACAGGCTGCGGTGGGCTGCAGCCTTTGGGAGCATCACAGACTTTGTGGTGATAGAGGGGCAGGAAGCAGGGCAACCAGCAATGCCCTGTGTCCTCCAGTGCTTCCGTGTCCTGGGTGAAGCATATTCCTGCTTTTTGAGGCAGATGATGCTGTCCCTTCCCCTGCATGTTCCCTCCCCCTCCCCTCGGTCTCTTCTCGCTGAACATTTCCAGAACAGCAGCTCAGCAGGCAGCTGAGCACAGATCAGAACCAGCCCTGCTCAGCTCGGCACCAGCTGCGCCAGCTCCTGGGGTAGCCACGCTGTTGAGAGCAGGACCAGTGCTCTGTGGACAGGGAAAGGCTGAGCTGGGGGCAGTGGGATGGCAGCTCTGGCCAAGCATCCTTTAGCCACTGAAGGATTAGCTGCCAATGGAACAGGAAACAAGCAGAGAGACCACAGAGCCTTTTAAGTGGTGTTATTCTTTAAAAAAAACAGCCCTGCTCCTCCGCAGGCACCGGCCAGGGGAGCAGCAGAGCCCCAAGTCTCTGGGTGAGAATCTTCCCGGGGAAATGTCCTTGGGTGGGATGTCCAGCACGGAGGGGGCGGGCAGTCCACCAAAGTGGCACGTCCATCCTGCCTGCTTTGGGCAGGACCAGCGCTCACTTGTGCTTGGCATGAAGGAACTCCCTGCGGCCCTTGTCCCGGCCCCCGAAGCACCGCACCCTGTGGATGGCCTGCAGCTGCTCCTCAATGGTGGCCCGGATGTCCACCTCGTCGGGGATGTGCACGTAGCGGACGTTCCTGCCGGTCACAAAGAGCTCATCCAGGTGGGACACGGTGCCCTGCCTGTCCGTGAAAGTCACCTCGGCCAGGCGCACGTTCATGAAGGCGTCCACGCTGGTGACGCGCCCCGCGGCCGCGCTCTCGTCGCGCAGCTCCACGGTGGTGACGCGGCCGCACAGCCCCTGCAGCAGGATGACCAGGCTGTTCTCGGCGATGGTGCGCTCCCTCACCGAGTGGCTCACCTCCATGGCGGCTGTGGCAGGACAGGGAACGTGGGGATGGGGACACCGGCGCGCTGTGCCTCGCACGGACCAGCCCCTGCCTATGGGCCAAGCTCTGCACACACATCTGAACATGGAATAATCCTGGTACACGGACCATTCCCTGCACATGGACTACTCCCTGTACACGGACCATTTCCTGCACACACACCTGAACATGGACCAAACATGGACCATTCCCTGCACACACACCTGAATATGGACCAGCCCCTGCACATCAACCAGCTCCTGTAAACACATCTGCCCATGGGCCAAGCCCTGCACATACACGTGAACACAGACCAAACATGGACCATTCCCTGCACACACACCTCAACATGGACCAAACATGGACCATTCCCTGCACACACACCTCAACATGGACTAATCCCTGTACATGGACCATTCCTTGCACATACCTGAACACGGACCAGCCCCTGCACATGGACCAGCCCCTGCAAACACATCTGCCCATGGGCCATGCCCTGCACACACACATGAACACGGACCAAACATGGACCATTCCCTGCACATGGACTAATTCTTGTACACGGACCATTCCCTGCATACACACCTGAACATGGACCAGCCCCTGCAAACACATCTGCTCATGGGCCAAACCCTGCACACACGTGTGAACATGGACCAAACATGGACCATTCCCTGCACACACACCTGAACATGGACTAATCCCTGTACATGGACCATTCCCTGCACACGGACTAATCCCTGTACATAGATCATTCCCTGCACACACACCTGAACATGCACCAGCCCCTGCAAACACACCTGCCCATGGCCAAGCCCTGCACACACACCTACACAGGGACTAATCCCGGTACACGGACCATTCCCTGCACACACACCTGAACATGGACCAGCCCCTGCACATCGACCAGCTCCTGCAAACACATCTGCCCACGGGCCAAGCCCTGCACACACACCTGAACACGGACTAATCCCTGTACACGGACCATTCCCTGCACACACACCTGAACATGGACCAGCCCCTGCACATCGACCAGCTCCTGCAAACACATCTGCCCACGGGCCAAGCCCTGCACACACACCTGAACACGGACTAATCCCTGTACACGGACCATTCCCTGCACACACAACTCTCCACAGATCAACCCCTGTACACAGAGCTGAACATGGACCAGCCCCCGCACATGGACAGCCCCTACAAACAGACCTGCACACAGAGCAACCCCTGCACGACCACCTGCACACGCAGCAAGTCTTAAACACTCCCCTGCACACACACCATACCCTGTATATGCACTAAACATTCACCTGCACACACACATCACTCCTTGCACTCTCACCTGCACACGTACTATTCCCTTCACACTTACCTGCAGTTCATCTGCGCTCACCTACACACCCCTCGCACACTCACCTCTCCCGCCCCTCTCCCACCCCACCGGCACACCTCCCCTGTCCCATGTGCCCCCTCCCTCGCACTCTGGGGTGCTCCGCGCCCCCCTCTCACTCCCCCTGCCCTCAGCCCCGGCTCC